ACGCTTGACCTTATACATACTGATGTATATGGTCCCCTGAGTGTTAGGACACGTAACCAACACGTTTATTTCATAACATTCACCGATGACTACTCTCGGTATGGTTACGTGTACCTAATGAGACACAAGTCTGAATCCTTTGAAAAGTTGAAAGAGTTCAGACAAGAGGTCGAGAAACAATTAGGGAGAGAAATTAAGACCCTTYGATCGGATCRAGGTGGCGAGTATCTCTCTGACGAATTCAGGGACTACTTGAAGGTCAACGGGATAGTATCACAGTTAGCTCTTCCTGCTACACCACAGCTAAACGGTGTTTCAAAGAGTAGGAATAGGACCTTATTGGATATGGTCCGGTCACTTCTCGTGCACTCAGAGTTACCCACATCCTTTTGGGGTTACGCATTGGAGACTGCGATATACGTGCTGAACCGAGTTCCAACCAAATCAGTTCCGAAGACTCCCTATGAGCTTTGGATCAGAAAGAAGCCAAGTGTGAGACACTTGAAGATTTGGGGTTGTCCAGCGCACGTTAAAAGAACGAGTGTGGACAAATTGAAATCCAAGACCAGCTGTTGCCTATTCGTAGGCTACCCCAAGGGCTCTGTGGGTTGCCTATTCTATGACCCAGGTGAACAGAAGGTGTTCTGTAGCCAAAATGCCCATTTCTTGGAGGATGATTACATCCTGAACAATCATCATCAGGAAGTTATTCTTGATGAGGAGAGCTTAGGAGTAGTGGGAGGTGTCCCACAAGTTCCAGGTAGTGACCAACCTAGAAGATCTACCCGGGTTTCTAGGCCTCTAGTCCGTTTTGGCTATGACCAGGATAGTTACCTGGTAGAAGCTATGACTTGTGATGAGGATCCCGTGACTTATACGAAAGCTATGTTGGACATAGATTCCTTGAAGTGGGTAGATGCCATGAGAGCTGAGATGGACTCAATGGAGACCAATGGAGTCTAGACTCTGGTGGATCCGCCCCCTGGGGTAAAAGCAATTGGTTGCAAATGGATCTATAAGAGGAAGAAGGGCCTCGATGGTAAGGTTGAGACCTACAAGGCTCGTCTGGTGGCGAAAGGGTACACTCAGAAAGAGGGCATCGATTATGAGGAAACCTTTTCGCCGGTGGCCATGCTTAAATCCGTTAGGATCTTGCTAGCTGTAGCAGCATACCATGACTACGGGATTTGGCAAATGGATGTCAAAACTGCGTTCCTGAATGGAGATCTTACTGAAGATATCTATATGCAGCAACCTCAAGGTTTCATAGCTGCGGGTCAAGAACACATGGTATGTAAATTAAATAGATCAATATATGGACTTAAGTAGGATTCTAGGAGTTGGAACATCCGGTTTGACTCTACTGTCAAAAAGTTTGACTTTACTGGGTCATCGACTTTATAGAGATAGATCGAAGAGGATAATTGGATTATCCCAATCTGCTTACATTGACAAAATTGTCAAGAGATACAACATGTAGAACTCCAAGAAAGGAAATGTTCCTTTCAGGCACGGAGTCACTCTCTCCAAGGGGATGTCTCCCAAGACTCCCGAGGAGATTGAGGGCATGAAGGACGTTCCCTATGCCTCAGCCGTAGGGAGCATCATGTATGCCATGCTGTGCACTCGTCTTGACATTGCTCAGGCAGTAAGTGTGGTAAGCAGATTCCAGGCCAACCCAGGGCAGGAGCATTGGATTGCTGTGAAAAACATACTTAAGTACCTTCAAAGGACAAAAGAGTTCTGGTATTCGATGGTAGCTCACTATAGATCCAAGGGTATACTAATGCCGACTTCCAGTCAGATCCAGATGATAAAAAGTCTACATCTGGGTATGTTTTCACGATAGGATCGTGTGGTGTTTGCTAGAAACAGGGGTCCACGGCGGATTCCACAACCGAAGCCGAATACATTGCTATAAGTGAGGCTGCCTTATGAATGAAGGTGTTCATTATGGAATTTGGAATTCAGCACATCACCCATTCCACTGTTGTGTGACAACACTGGATCTACGGGAGATTAATGTTAAAAGGTAGCTTCAGCGGAGAATGTGGCAGACCCATTGACTAAGCCACTGACACAGAAAGTGTTTGAGAAACACGTGGAAAGT